CTGTAAATCTCACTACATTAAAATCCCCTCCCACACACCAAGGTCCATCCCGAAGGCCTCTAATGTCACTCAATTCTTCCCATAATTTCTCCCTCTGCCTATAGTCATTGGGGCCATACACATTTGTTAGTACCCATTCGTACCCATCGTCCACCTGTCTGAACTTTAGGGAGACAGAATGATTTCCAATTAGCTCCTCCACACCTATGAGTAAATCTTCTTTCCGCAGGGTCACAATCCCTCTTGAGAAACCCCACGAGGGAGCAGCCACCCACTTTATACCCCTAGAACTCCAAACACTCCTTGCCCATCTGCAATCAAAATCCATTCTTTTGGACTCCTGAAGCATTACCACATCCGGATTAAGCTTCTTAATTACCTCTTTAATTGTCGCTCTCTTCCTAATGTTGCCCAACCCCCTCATGTTCCAACTTAGGATTCTCATTGAAAACTCTTAGCCTTAACCCTAACTCCTCCAAGAACTATTTAGACCCTTTTTTTCTAACCCCTTTCACTTCAAACTTCTTATCCCCCTCAATATCTCTTTTTAATCTCTCCACTTCACTTAGCTTTCTATTCTTCATCTTGCTGTCCTCTTTTTTTTGCATGTAGGCTTTTAGATCATTCGGGTTCTTCAACTTGCACCCCAACTTTTTCACAAACTCTGCAATTGACTCTTCCCCACTAGTTTCCTCTTTTTCTAAAGTTGCACTCTCCTCACTCCTAGGAAATTTCTTGTTCTTTCTCACATTACCTCCAACTACAACCCTTTCTGTCCCCTCCAAGCTCCCTCTCTGCAATTCCTTCCTCTCCACTTCACCCAAACGGCTCTCTAAGATTTCCCATATTTTTGTCTCTCTGCAAGTTTTCTCACCCACTTCCCCCCCTTGTAGACGCACTGTGGCTTTCAGACCAAGGGCTTCCGATTCTTGGTTGGGAAGAGAATCTAGAACAAGGGACACAGAGCGCTCATCAGTAGCCAAAACTGAATTGATAGAATTGAGGGATTTACCTGAGGCAGAGAAGTGAGGAGAGAGCATAGGCGAAGGAGTGGTAGTCACTTTCTTTTTTGAGAAATTAGAGCACTCTATCTCCCCGAGTTGGGGGAAGAAAATCCCTGTCGCTATATCAACACAAAGACCCCTTTCTGTATCCAAGTATGTACCTCTCTGTGAGGTACCCTTGTTCAGCTCTGAGAAGACCCGAGCTACCTCCTTTTCGGCCTCTTGCAAAGCGCTAGAATTAGAGAAGGGCTCAGCCAAATTTGGGTTAAGATCATTCACCCGCTCCTCCCCCTCCTCCTTTCCCTCCCCCATCGAATTCCCTATGAACAAACAATCCAGGCTGAAAGAATCCCTGTTCTGATCTTCAGATAGAGCTTCGTCTGCCGCACTGCTTAAACTCCCACAGGCTTCCGATCTTTCATCATAGTCAGAATCTGAGCCGCAGCTTATCCAACCTTGGTCAGCCTCTTCCTTCTCTTCTGTTCTAACTCTCAAATAGCGCGGGTTCGGGCGATCAGGAACGTTGTGTTTTTGCGCGTCGCTGACTGTCCGTCGGACCCAGCACAGAGGATGGCGTCCTTCTGCCTTGCTCGCCATCTGAGCCCCTCCACAGTCGAGAGGGCGAGACTTAGACAATGATAGATGAATGTTGCCATCTATCATCGCCCCATGCCTGCCCCGCCCCACATGACGACTTAAGTTGTCATGTGGGCTTTTAAAAAAACCACCCGAAGCCTGCCCCGCCCCACGTGAAGGCTCACCCACTGACCCGTCTGGTCCAGCCTTCCTTAAAGCCGGTTTAGACAAAGACTTTGAGTACAATCGAACCTTACCCATTTTAGCCACATCAGCATAAGATGGGCCACCCTCTTTAAACAACCCAACTTCAAAAAATTTGAATTAGAAGCCTTAATAGGAAAGCTTTGAGACTTGGGGCACCCCTGCGACTGTTCCCCTTCCTCTGTAGTTCGCCCACACACACCAGGCTTTCCCGCCAGCCCCTGAAGGTCACGTGTACACCAACCTGCAGACTCGTCATCTCCTTCAACCTCTGTTCGTCTTCCCTAAAGCGGGGCTTCATCTTCTGAAGCTAACCAGACCTTGTACCAGGCATCTTCTGAGAGAACTTCGAAGGCACGCTGCAAGTACTCCRGCTTGATCCCAGCAACCTTAAGTTCCACAGCTCTCAAGTTTCTTAAGTTAACCTCCAACAGAACTCCACCCAACGCTCTGACAATTTTCCTTAGTATTTGATCATTCCAAAGGTTGAAAGGAAGACCGAGAAGTTTGATCAAGAAACTGCCGACTCTAGATTCAACTTCGTTGCAAACTGGAGCCCAGTTCTGGACCTGAACCAAACTTCCCTCTACAAGGAATGTACTGAAATTCAGTTTCTTATTGCCAGTATCTAATAAAGCTTTCTTTTCAGCAAAAGGCAACAACACTACATCTTCATCTAAGCCCAACCTCTCTGCAACTACTTCTAAAACCTTCGTCCAATCTTCTATC